CCGCATGTCCAAACCACCTGTCCCCCACCCTGCCCTATCCCCCCCATCCCACGTCCATCCCGCCGGCATCGCTCACATCCACTGGATGTTGTTCTTGGATTTCTTGCGGATGAGCTGGATGCCCTCCAGCACATTGGTGATGTCGTAGATGCGCCGTTTCTGGACCTCCAGCACCTCGGCCGCCCGGTTGAGATCCACGACACCATCGGGCGACTCGTTCAGCAAACGGATGAATTTTTTGGTGAGCAGCCCCAGCGAGGTGTCGTAGCGAGTCTTCTCCCCAGGAGACTTGGGGGCTGTGGGGAAACGAGAGACCCCCCCCCCATCCTCTCCTTAGCATGGGATGTGGGATGGAGGTGACACGGTACTGGTCATGCTGGGCACATTAAATGCTGTACAATCCCTAACCTGATGGAAAAATAACCCAGAAATACACACCCGCCCCGGGAGATTTCTGACAGGGGAGGGGTTTGAATCAGCTCAAAGAGCTAAAGAGCAGCAGCAAGGGGGGGTTGAGGAGCGGCGCTGCTCCCACGATGCCACCTCGGGTCACTTTGGGTGGTGCTAGAGGGGACATCGCAGCAGCTCTAAAAGGGGAGAGAAATGGGGTCTGTCCCTCTCCCAGCTCCCCCCACAACCCGTCTCACCCAGCACCACTTACTCCTGGGGCTGGGGACCTGCGCCAGCGTCCTGCCCTTCCCCTTGGGCGTGCGAAATTCGGGACCCTCCAGGTCCAGCTTCCTCTTGGCCTGGAGCAGGAGACAAAACCCCACGTCGGGACCAAGCCAGACACCCCCTTGAGCCCCCCTTGGGGCATCGGCCCAGCCCTGGGTGCCACAGCCCAGGGTGGGGGGGTTTTGCAAGAGGCTCATCTGGTTGCAAAACCCCTTCTGGGAAGGGCTCCTGCAGCACCCGGCAGGGCGAGGGGCCACCAGGAGAGCTGGGTGGGGAGGAGATGGGGGGTCCCGGCACCCCCAATGGCTTCCTGCCCGCTTCCGCCGCAGCAGCCCAGCCCGCCCCGGCGCTCCCTGGCAGCCGCAGGGAACCCGCCAGGATTTCCCCTCGCCCCCAGCTCCTGGCACGGCTCCGCAGGGCTGAGCCCTGGGAACGGCAGCAGCTCCAAGGCTGGATCCTCACCCTCCCATCCTGCCAGCTGGCTCGTTGGGGTGCAGGGTTTCCCCCCCCCCAAGCCACGGTTGGAGGCAGCCGAGGGCACCCAGCTGCCACCAGCGCACCTGGGACCAGCCGGGCTCAGCTCAGCCCTCCCCGGGGACCCGTGGGTGCTCCAGAGACATGCACCCAGCTGGAAGGAAACTGGGGCAAGGCGGGGGGGGGGTGAGGCAGGGGGGGTGCTGGGTCCTAGGAGTGGGGACACCTCCCTGCACACTCTGTCCCCTCACCAGGGCAAGCAGCAACTTGAAATTGTCCCCAAGGGACCCCCCCCAGCATCACTTGGGGAGAAGAGACCCAGGGAAGGGGGGGGGGGTGTTGCGCAGCAGAGCAGACGCAGAGAGGAGGTGGGGGGTGTCACCAAACCAGCCCCTGAACGGGTGCAAATCCCAAAGGATCCCCCCACATCCTCAAATATGAGCAGGGGTACTTTGGGGGGACACCGGCTCAGTAGCAGAAAGCAGCCCCCCAGTCCCATCCCATCCTCATGTGCCCCCCCCAGTACCTGCTCCCAGGCTGGGCTGTCCCACAGGGTCCCCCCCAGCACGTCCCGCATGTTGCCCAGGTCCCCGTGCCGGCTCAGCGCAGCTCCAAGCAGTGGCTCCCCAGGGAGCGCACCCCACTTTGCGGAGTAGGGTTGGGCGCCTCGGCGACGTTCCCACCCCAGGGGGCCGGCGGGAGAGGTGCCGGGGGCTGTTTTCCGCCCCCCCAGGGAGCCAGGTTGGTCCCGAGCTCCTGTGGGAATCTGTTCCCTCCCTCCCTTCCCCGAGCAGGTTTTCCCCAGCGAACGTGCCTCCATCCCTGGCCCCCGCACCCCCGGATCTGCCCCCGAGCTGCCGGCACCCCAACGGTTAACGCCGAGCGCATGGGAAACACCTGCCCCGGATCAGACCCCAACGCATCTGCCAGCACGATTTGGGACGAGGCCGGGGGCCATCATCTGGGGCCCCCCTTCTGCTGGCACCCAACCCTTGCTTCTCCAGACACCAGTGGCCGTGGCCACCCCTGTGTCCCCATTGCTGATGGGGGGGGGGGTGTCAGCTGCACCCCATCTGGCCAAGCAATGGGGAAACTGAGGCACAGGAGCAACACAAGGGAGGTCCTGTTGTCCCTGGCCTCCTACAACCCCTCAGAGCCACAGCCACCGAGGTGGTTCCCCCTCCCCATCTGCAAGAGGGGACAAAGGGGGACCCCCCCCACTCCCACACACACGGTTTGGGGTGGGGGAGCTCGGTGGGCTCGGGCAGGGGCAGGACCCTGTGGCGCTGGGACACACCAGCGAGGGACAATGGACAAGGGGGTCCCTCCTGTGTCCCAGCTGCCACCCCCCCGGCCGGGCAGGATTAGGCACATGACAGCTGAGCGGGGGCATGGCAAGAGGCTCCCAGCGCCCTGCTGGGGCCGGGGTGGGGGGCAGGATGTACCAGAGTAATTGGGGGGGCAGGGACCTAACCCCAAGACCTCCCCAGGCACTGCAGGACCCCCCCCAGGCTGCTCACCAGCCCTCAGCCACTGCTTCCCAGGATGGGGAGACATGACTGCACCCCAATATGATGCTGAGGGTGGGGAGGGAGGTTCGACCCCCCCCGGATGAGGGCAGGAGCCTGCTGGGGGGGCAGGCCGGGCCCTCCGCCCCCCTGTGCCAGCCCCGCCGCCCCCCAGGCGTGGGAACGCAGCACCCAGGGATGGGCACTCGGAGCTGGCGGGGGGGCCCGGGATGGTGCCATCACACCAGGGATGCTGCTCATGCCAAGGCACTGCTGGATCAGGGCCCCCAGATGCACCCCTCCCTATCTTTGGGGTGGCTGAGAGCTGGCAGGGCACAGAGGGATGAAGAAACCCCAGATTTGGGGGGTCAGAGAGGCTTTTAGCCCCACCCTGCACATTCCCTGGGATGGGAAGACCACGCTGTGCTGGGGATGATGGCTGTACCCCCACCCTGGGTACCACTGCGAGATACAGCTGGCTTCTCCATCCCCTCTGACAGTCCCATCCCAGCATGGATGGAGGGGGGAGGCCTGGCAAGAGATATTCCCTGGCGGAGAGGAGCTGGAGGCTGTGAAAGCCAGAGACAGAAAAAGCCCCTCTGATGGTGACAGGGCAGCCACCACCTTCCCACCCATCCTGACCCCCCCCCAGCTCCCTGCACCCCAAAAAATCCCCCCTCCTGCCCATGCAGACAAATCCTTGATGGGATCAAAGTGGGACAGGAACACCCTGGGTCACCCCAGCAGAAACCGGGGTGCTGTGGAGCAGTTCTCCTGCCGGGGAAGGGCTCCAGCCCAGCACCCACAGGGACTGCCACCCTCCTGCCATCCTGGGTGCTCTTTGCACGGGCGGCTCAGCCCTGCCAGCTCGCACCAAAGACGCAGCGGACTCTGAACGCCCTTGTCCCAGCACGGAGGAAGCAGGGAGAGGCCAGGACCCCACGGCGGAGACATTGCTCTCTCGGGGGCTCCTTTGCAGCCCTGAGCCCCTGCAGAGATCCCATGGCCCCTGTGGAGCTTGGCAAATACTCAGGGTGGGATTGCCACGGGCTAAACCAGCCCCCAAACATGCATTTGTCATGGAGGAAAATGCATTTACCCACTCCAGGACCCTCAAATCAAAGACTAAGGGACATCTGAGACTTTTTTTGAACCACGAGAGACAACCCAGGGTGATGGGCTCCCTGCAGCTGGACCAGTGACCCCTGATACGGCACAAATCCCGCAAGCCGGTGGGAGCGGCCGCAATTGCCCTGCTCGGGAATTGGGAGGAAATGTTCATTATCTGATTGCCCCGGATCTGTACACAAAGGTTGTGCCCATAAATGGAGGGGGCAGGGGGGGAGCTGGTTGGAAATGGGACCTCCAGCGCCAGGAACGGGATCACGGCATCAGGGAATGGGATGGAGACAGAAGGGAACGCCGCTTGCAAGCCACCAAGGGGGATGCAGGAGCATTTCATGTCCCCAAGTGTCACACAAGCCCCCCCCCCAGACCCCATTGAGGGGACAGCGACAGGCAGGAGCACCCTGAGCATCTCCTGGCATGGGTGATGATGATGATGATGGTGGTGATGCCAAAGAGGCTGTTAGCCCCAAACCAGCTGCGCAGTGATGCATGGAAACGGGACTGTGAGTTTGTGGGGTGTTTTTAGGGGAGGGGGCAGCAGCACGGGTGTCTCCTTAAACAACAGCCCCCAGCAGCGCAGGATGCGGCATCTCACGCGGTTCGGAGACAAAGAGGCTGGGGAGGAGGCAGGGGGCCCCACAGCCCCGGCTTGTGCTGGCCCCAGCCAGCCACACAGCCATGGAACGAAGGGGGGAGCAAAGACACCCCCTCTCCCCCGGCTGCGGCAACGTCCCCAGCTGGCACCGAGCATCAGGGACTGGGGAAAGGGGAGGGGGGAATAAATAAATAAATCAAGCCTTGAAAAAACTAAATTGAAGTTAGCGGGGTCTGGGATCCCTCCCAGGACCCGGGGAGAACAGAGGCTCAACAGTGAGGGCTGGACACGCGCCCGGGCTGGGGCAGGCAGGAATTAAATGCCAGCTGCCAGCGGGGCCGGCAGGGCGGGGGCCCGGGGGGGGGAGCAGAACCTGGCTGGGCAGAGCCACCCACGCACCCCGACGCTGGGCACGGGGCCAGCACCCAACCTGGGCCTCAGTTTCCCTGTTTGGGGCAGCGGGCGCTGGGCAGCCCTGACGCTGGGGCTCGGTGACAGGAACACAGCCAGAGCCAGCGACCTTCTCCCCGTGCCAACCTGCACAGCTCTCAGCATCAGGGTCTCTGGTTCAAAGCCTTGGGGTGTCCCACGGAAAAAGGGGATTGCTTCAAATTCACACCCCAACTCAAAAAAAAAAAAGAAAAAGGCATTTCAAGCTCCGCTGTAACCGCAGGCAGGAACCAAGCTCAGGCAGCAGCGCTGAGCCACCCCTGCCCCACGTCCCCCCACTTTGCTGGGTGACAGGTCACAGCGGGGGTCACAGCCCCAAAGCAGGGAGACCCCCGTGCCCCCCACCCACAGCGGGCAGGAGCACTGCCTGCACCCAACCCTCCCTTCCTTAACGGGAAAAGGGGTTTGCAAAGGGCCTCAACGCCACAGCTGGGCTTTGGGGCGCGACCCGAGCTGTTTGCAAGCTGGAGAGAGGAAAAAAAAAAAAAGAAAAAGGCCGAAAAAGGCTGAAAAGCGGAAGCCAGGAGCCAGCTTTGCGGGCATGCAGGGGGCAAAGGGAAGTTGAGAAACGTATGAGACATTTCACTGCGACTTCTGATTTCAGACCTTACCCTCCCCCACCCCAAAGAGACATCTGAGGGGGGTGCAGACCCCAATATAAACTGCAAAATTTGGAAGGGGAGGGTGCTGTGCATCCTGGGTCACCCACCCCTTGCTCCCCACCCTGCACGGAGCACCCCAAACCCCCGTCCCACGGAAGCAACGCCCAAGGAGGGGATGGGGTGCAGACACCTTACCGGCAGCCGTCCCGCCGAGGCCGAGCGGAGGATCCTGAGCTGGGGGCCCTGGGGGGTGCCATAGGGACACCCCCCCCGGGGAGCGGAGACGCTGCCAGCCGCGGGCGGGGCGACCCGGGGGGA